CGGTCAGTTCCGCCGTTGCCGAGGCTTACGACGCCGTCGGCACGTCGATCGAGCTCCCAATGGCCGGCAAGGCTGAGAAGCCGTTCAACTGGCACGCCGGTAATGTCGGCAATTTGTTGCGGCACGTGTGCCGAGAGAGCTCCGAATACGCGGCGAAGATCGAGCGGGCGGTTGAAGGTGGCATACCGCATACACCGGTGTTATACTTGGACGAGATCATGCCAGGCGACGCGTTGGCGCCGCGGCGCGACCGAGCTTCCTGGAGTTCGGTTCCGACATGCTACACAGGCAAGGGTTGTGGCTTCCATGTGGCGCCCTGCGCCTGAAGATCGCCAGCGGCGTGAACGGCGGCATCAGCTGCGTCATTCGGCCCCTCCTGAGGAATGTGTTCCTCGCTCCAAGCAGGCTGGCCACAGCTGGCGAGCGCGCGCCCTTGGCCGACGGCACCTCGGCGCTGATTCGGGCGCGCCAGTGCAAGATCTTCGCCGACATGGACGCCCACAAGGGAGTATTCAGCATGAAAGGCGCCAGCGGTTGGCGGCCGTGCATGCGACGCAAGAGCGCCATCAGAAAAGGAGCCCGCCTCGCGGGCGACGTGGACAACTATTTCGTCGACATTTGCTGCCGCGACTTCGCGCGTGTCGACGCGCAGTCGGATGACGTGGCGCGGGGGCTCTGGGACGAGCTCGCCGCGCAGGTCGGCCACCTGCCAGCGGCCGAGTTCAAGAAGCTCGAGGTCGCCAGCGGGTTCAACTACCACGCTATTGCGCTGCTTGGCGATCGCGAGCTGCGGAGCGCGGTGCGGCCGTCAGCATTGATGTGCGACTCAGTTCGCAACCTCTGGAGCAATGGCATCATCGGTCGGGAAGTGTTCGCTTTCCTGGGCGCGTGCAAAAGGAAGGCTGGCATGTCGTTCGCCGACTTGCGCAAGTACGCGCGTTGCCTGTCGTGCGCTGGCGGCTCGTCGGCGACGCGGCATGCGTTCACGACTGGGCACGAGGCCGCGTGCAAGAAGTCCTTCAAATCTGGCGCAGGCTGCACATCCCGCTGGCGTGCGCCGAGGAGCGCGTCGCCGACGTTCCGTCGCTCGAGCGCGCGCTCGATTCATTCCGCGCGTGCTGCCTGATGGCAGCCGCATTCCTGCGTGCCAAGCGCGGGCTTGCCGCCCCCACCAAGGAGGAGTTCACCGAGCCGGTAGAGGTCCATTTTGACTTCCACCAGCGGGTGCACGGCCCCGGCTTCGTCAAGCCGAAGCACCACTACGCGTTGCACAACGCGGCGCAGGAACCCCCCAAAGCGCACCTCTCCCCCCCCCCGCGGGCGCTGCGTTTGAGCTGGGGGCGTTTGAGGGCGCCCCCCCGTCGCAATCGAACGCCGCCCGTCGCAATCGAACGCCGCGACGCTGACCGGGAGCCCAAGCAGCTCGATTGCTTCGTCACTGAGCGGCGCAACAAGGTGGCGAAGGGCATCGCCGAGTCCGCGACGAACTGCTCCAATTTCGAGCGCGCGGTCGTCAGGGCCGCCGTCCTGCGCCAGTTGCGGATGCCCAGGGACGTGGGGCCGTCTGGCAACGCGCTGGCGCCGCCGATGGTTGGCCCGCCAGAGCTGCGCCCCGCGATCGGGGCCGCCGAGGTCTTCGCGGCGCTGTCGCTGCGCTGCGCTGGGAGGGGGCCCAGTTCAAAGGAGGCGAGACCGTTCGCTCGCGCGGTGGCGAGTGCTTCGTCGCGGACGCCCGCGCCGCCATTTCGGGCGACTTGCACGTCGTCGCTCGCGGGGTCGAGATCCACGCGCGCGGGGGCGGCGTTAGCACTGGCCGCGTGATCGACGAGCTCCTCGCGATCAAGCTTGCCGACGCCCACCTGACGGCGTCGGTTTGGGCGCGGCGCTTGCGCAAGGGCGGATGTGCCATTGCGCGCGCCCGCTGCTGAAAACAGATGAAAGGCAGAGCGCGCCGCGCCGCTGATGCGCGGGGGGCCGATGAGAGCGGGGGAAGCGGTGGTGATCGCTTGGGCGGAGCGGCGGCGGCCGCTTTAAGGGGAGGGGGGGTCAGAAGGAGGGGGGGGGGGGGGGGGGGCGGGGGGGGGAGAGGAGGGGGGGGGGGGGGGGGGAGGGGGGGAGGAGGATGGGGATGGGGGAAGGGGGGGGGGGGGCGGGGGGGATGAGGATCGGGCGATGGGGATCACTCGGGCGGAGCGGCGACGACCGCGCTTGAGGAGGGGGGGGGGGGGGGGAGGGGGGGGGGGAGAGGGGGGGGGGCGGGGGGGGGGGTGGGGGGAGGGAAGAGGAGGAAGAGGAGGAGGAGGATGGGGGGCGAGCGATGGGGATCGCTTGGACGGATCGGCGGCGACCGCTTAAGGGGAGGAGAAATGAGGGGATAATGCGCGATATGGGGCGGAGCGATGGCGATCGCTTGAATGATGGCGGGGGCGATGGTGATCGCCTGGGCGGAGCGGTGGCGACCGCCTTAGAAGGAGGCGTAGGAGGAGGGCGGCGACGAGGGAAGGATGAGGAGAAAGGGGAGGCATTACGATAGCGATGGCGGTCGCTGTAGGAGGCGAGAGAGGGTAGGCAGGACAGGGCGCTCCGCGGGCCGCTGCGATGGAGGGCGAGCTGGTCGCGCTTGTCGCGGTGGGGGCGAGCGAGCACCGCGAGCCGCTGGCCGATCCGTCGCAGTGGCGCTCTGTGCGGGGGGCTCCGCGCCCCCCTCCAATCCAGCGATGGCGATCGCTCTCTTCCTATTATTATTCGTCCTCTTCCTCCTCCCCCCATCCATCCCCCTCTTCTCCTTCCTCCCCTCCTCTCTCCTCCTCCTCCTCCTTCCTCCTTCTCCCCCTTTCCTCCTCCTCCCCCTCCTCCCCTGCTCCCTCCTCCTCCTTCTCCTCCTCCTCCTCCTCCTCCTCCTCCTACCTCCTCCTCCCTCCTCCTCCTCCTCTTCCTCGTCCTCCTCCTGTTTCATCCTCCTCCTCCTCATCCTCCCCCCCTGCTCTCCCTCGTCCTCCCCCCCCCCCCCATTCCTTCTCCTCCTCCTCCGCGCCCCCCCCCTCCTCGTCGTCCTCCTCCTCCACCTCCTCCTCTTCCTCCTCCGCCTCCTCCTCGCCCAGGCGACCGACCGCGGCTTGCTGCGTCGTCTTCCGCGCGCGCTACCGACGACGCGGAAGACGACGGTAGCGCGCGCGCGACGACGACGACGAACGAGGCCGAGCGCGAGCTGGAGATCGCGATCCAGGAGCGCGACGCGGCGCTGGCGGCGCTGGAGCGGCGACGCGGCGCGAGGATGAGAGGAAACAGAAGAAGAAGGATAATACGGATAATAAGGAGAATAATAAGCAGGAGAGGAACGCGGCGCGCTTGCGCTGCGTCAAGAAGCCCGCGAACAACCGCTGAGTTGGCCGCGCGCCCTCGCCTTCCTCCTTCTGCTCGCCCTCCTTCTGTAAAGAAGTTAGTGGTACGTATAAGAAGCCCATGATAACTTAGATATGAAACCCTAAGTAACATAATACGTAACTTAGTAAGTATAACTAACTTGCAACGGTGAGTAGCCTAATTTACTTGAGGCACTCAGCGCTAAGCTTAAGTAGCATAAGAAGCTCCAGCCTTTAAGCGTGGAGCCACAGGGCCTCCACGGAGTGGAAGGAGGATCGGGCTGGATGAAAGGGGGCGATTGGGAAAAGGGGGGGTGCGAAATCTGCTGCGTGCAGCTGGTTTTTCGGCCCCGCCTAGGGGCCCATTCCTCGGCGCTCGGCCGCCTCCGGCGCCGGGGGGCGCCGGGGAAATCAGCTTCGCGAGCTGATTCTCACCCCCCCCTTTTGCTATCCCCCCCCCCCCCCCCTTCGCCCGACCCGAGAGGAAGACGGGGCAGAGTAGGGGGGCGACGACGAGGCGGGGCCAGCAGGGCGAGGGGTGAGAGGAGGGGGATGGGGAGGAAGGGGCGGCGCGCGGGGAAGAGGGGGAGGAGGGCGATAGGGCAGAGGGGGGGGAGGAGGATGAGGGCGAATAGGCAGCGGAGGAAGCGAGGTCAATAAGAACAATGAAAAGAAACAAGACAAAGGGGGAGGATGACGCGGAGTAGGTGGGAATAAGACATATCATGGCATGAGGCGGAGAGGGTGAAAGGGTGCCAGACTAGCAGAGGAGACAGCACGACATCCCAAAAAGTAGGTTTGACAATATCGGTTTCTACCAAGGCGAAGGTCGCTGCAGGGTGACGTCAGCTCGTACTAATTATCCGACGTGCTGGAAATCTGCTCTTGGTGGGGCCGTCCTGGGGCTGTCCGGGTGCTCTTTGCAAGCCCTCTCAGGCTCGCGTAAGAGGGATTTTCAGGAGCCCTCTTTGGCCTTTCAGAGATATACCGCGTCGTCTTGGGGCGCCAGTGAGCCGCCTGGCGCCGATAGAGTTTGTCCTGGGGGTCTCTCGGGGCCATGTTGGTAATCTTCGTGCCTTCGGGGGAGATATTCAGGCTATTGAGATGTCTTAGGGCTTCCCTGAGCTGCATTGGGGCCCTGTTGGGACCACTGGTGGGCTACCTCGAGGCGAGTTGGGGGTCTGGTGGTACGTATGGGAGGCTCTCAATACCGAAAAGAACAACAACGCTAATATGGAACCACGATCGGCGCGTCTTGGGGGCGTCTTCGGCCGCTTGGGAGCCATATTAGGCCACTTTGACAGTAATTCAAACAATTTTGCAGCTATAATATTGGAACGGAACGCCCGACCTTCTTGGCACCATTCGTGCCCGACTCTCTTCCATTCAAAGCGTCCGGACCAGGTTGCCAGGGGAGGCGTCTGTCGGTGGCAGAATCCCTCCAGCTTCCCGAAAAGTGTTTTGCGTCTTCGGGTAAGGTTTAGAATTTTAAAAATTGTTGACACGGCCCGATAATCTCCAAACTTCCCGCGAAAACCCGCCCCTTCTCACTTCCTCTTCGGGCTCGCCGCAGAGCTTCGGGGAAGGGAAAGCTTCTAACACTCCGACGTGTTCCCGATGGGTCGGCGAATTTCTGAGCTGCAGTCCCAGTTGGCCGAACAGGCCCGGCAGCGCGAGTCGGCTGGGTCCGCGGCGGCGGCGGAGGCGGAGCAGCTGCGGCAGCAAGTCTCTGAGCTGAAAGGGAAGCTGGCCGAACAGGAACGGCAGCGAGAGCAGCACGAGTCGGCCGGCTCTGTCGCTGCCACAGAGGCGCAGCAGTTGAGAGAGCAGGTGGCGGAGCTGCAGAGCCAGTGGACCGATCAGCAGCAGCAGCAGCAGCAGCAGCACGAGGCGGCAAACTCCACAGCGGCCTCAGAGGCGCAGCGGTTGAGAGAGCAGGTGGCGGAACTGCAGGCCACGTTGTCTGCAGAGGAGCGGCAGCGCGAGTCGGCCGGGTCCGCTGCGGCGGCGGAGGCGGAGCAGCTGAGGCATCAGGTCTCTGAGTTGCAGGGGAAGCTGGCCGAAGAGGAGCGGCAGCGAGAGCAGCACGAGTCGGCCGGCTCTGCCGCGGCCACAGAGGCGCAGCAGCTTAGGCAACAGGTGGGGGAGCTGCAGAGCCAGTTGACCGATCAGCAGCAGCAGTACGAGTCGGCAAACTCCACAGCGGCCTCAGAGGCGCAGCAATTGAGAGAGCAAGTGGCGGAGCTGCAGGCCGCGTTGTCTGCAGAGGAGCGGCAGCGCGAGTCGGCCGGGTCCGCTGCGGCGGCGGAGGCGGAGCAGCTGAGGCAGCAGGTCTCTGAGCTGCAGGGGAAGCTGGCCGAAGAGGAGCGGCAGCGAGAGCAGCACGAGGCGGCGAACTCCACAGTGGCCTCAGAGGCGCAACAGTTGAGAGAGCAGGTGGCGGAGCTGCAGGCCACGTTGTCTGCAGAGGAGCGGCAGCGCGAGTCGGCCGGGTCCGCTGCGGCGGCGGAGGCGGAGCAGCTGAGGCATCAGGTCTCTGAGCTGCAGGGGAAGCTGGCCGAAGAGGAGCGGCAGCGAGAGCAGCACGAGTCGACCGGCTCTGCCGCGGCCACAGAGGCGCAGCAGCTTAGGCAACAGGTGGGGGAGCTGCAGAGCCAGTTGACCGATCAGCAGCAGCAGTACGAGTCGGCAAACTCCACAGTGGCCTCAGAGGCGCAGCAGTTGAGAGAGCAGGTGGCGGAACTGCAGGCCACGTTGTCTGCAGAGGAGCGGCAGCGCGAGTCGGCCGGGTCCGCTGCGGCGGCGGAGGCGGAGCAGTTGAGGCAGCAGTTCTCCGAGCTGCTGGGGAAGCTGGCCGAAGAGGAGCGGCAGCGAGAGCAGCACGAGGCGGCGAACTCCACAATGGTCTCAGAGGCGCAACAGTTGAGAGAGCAGGTGGCGGAGCTGCAGGCCACGTTGTCTGCAGAGGAGCGGCAGCGCGAGTCGGCTGGGTCCGCTGCGGCGGCGGAGGCGGAGCAGCTGAGGCAGCAGGTCTCTGAGCTGCAGGGGAAGCTGGCCGAAGAGGAGCAGCAGCGAGAGCAGCACGAGTCGGCCGGCTCTGCCGCGGCCACAGAGGCGCAGCAGCTTAGGCAACAGGTGGGGGAGCTGCAGAGCCAGTTGACCGATCAGCAGCAGCAGTACGAGTCGGCAAACTCCACAGCGGCCTCAGAGGCGCAGCAGTTGAGAGAGCAGGTGGCGGAGCTGCAGGCCGCGTTGTCTGCAGAGGAGCGGCAGCGCGAGTCGGCCGGGTCCGCTGCGGCGGCGGAGGCGGAGCAGCTGAGGCAGCAGTTCTCCGAGTTGCAGGGGAAGCTGGCCGAAGAGCAGCGGCAACGAGAGCAGCACGAGTCGGCCAGCTCTGCCGCGGCCGCAGAGGCGCAGCAGCTGAGGCAGCAGGTGGGGGAGCTGCAGAGCCAGTTGACCGATCAGCAGCAGCAGTACGAGTCGGCAAACTCCACAGCGGCCTCAGAGGCGCAGCGGTTGAGAGAGCAGGTGGCGGAGCTGCAGGCCACGTTGTCTGCAGAGGAGCGGCAGCGCGAGTCGGCCGGGTCCGCTGCGGCGGCGGAGGCTGAGCAGCTGAGGCATCAGGTCTTTGAGCTGCAGGGGAAGCTGGCCGAAGAGCAGCGGCAACGAGAGCAGCTCGAGGCGGCAAACTCCACAGCGGCCTCAGAGGCGCAACAGTTGAGAGAGCAGGTGGCGGAGCTGCAGGCCACGTTGTCTGCAGAGGAGCGGCAGCGCGAGTCGGCCGGGTCCGCTGTGGAGGCGGAGGCGGAGCAGTTGAGGCAGCAGGTCTCTGAGTTGCAGGGGAAGTTGGCCCAAGAGGAGACGCAGCGAGAGCAGCACGAGGCGGCGAACTCCACAATGGCCTCAGAGGCGCAGCAGTTGAGAGAGCAGGTGGCGGAGCTGCAGGCCACGTTGTCTGCAGAGGAGCGGCAGCGCGAGTCGGCCGGGTCCGCTGCGGCGGCGGAGGCGGAGCAGCTGAGGCAGCAGGTCTCTGAGCTGCAGGGGAAGCTGGCCGAAGAGGGGCGGCAGCGAGAGCAGCACGAGGCGGCAAACTCCACAGAGGTCTCAGAGGCGCAGCAGTTGAGAGAGCAGGTGGCGGAGTTGAAAACCACGTTGTCTGCAGAGGAGCGGCAGCGCGAGTCGGCCGGGTCCGCTGCGGCGGCGGAGGCGGAGCAGCTGAGGCATCAGGTCTCCGAGCTGCAGGGGAAGCTGGCCGAAGAGGAGCGGCAGCGAGAGCAGCACGAGGCGGCGAACTCCACAATGGCCTCAGAGGCGCAACAGTTGAGAGAGCAGGTTGCGGAGCTGCAGGCCACGTTGTCTGCAGAGGAGCGGCAGCGCGAGTCGGCCGGGTCCGCTGCGGCGGCGGAGGCGGAGCAGCTGAGGCAGCAGGTCTCTGAGCTGCAGGGGAAGCTGGCCGAAGAGGAGCAGCAGCGAGAGCAGCACGAGTCGGCCGGCTCTGCCGCGGCCGCAGCGGCGCAGCAGCTGAAGCAGCAGGTGGGGGAGCTGCAGAGCCAGTTGACCGATCAGCAGCAGCAGTACGAGTCGGCAAACTCCACAGCGGCCTCAGAGACGCAGCAGTTGAGAGAGCAGGTGGCGGAACTGCAGGCCACGTTGTCTGCAGAGGAGCGGCAGCGCGAGTCGGCCGGGTCCGCTGCGGCGGCGGAGGCGGAGCAGCTGAGGCAGCAGTTTTCCGAGCTGCAGAGGAAGCTGGCCGAAGAGCAGCGGCAGCGAGAGCAGCACGAGGCGGCGAACTCCACAGTGGCCTCGGAGGCGCAACAGTTAAGAGAGCAGGTGGCGGAGCTGCAAGCCACGTTGTCTGCAGAGGAGCGGCAGCGCGATTCGACCGGGTCCGCTGCGGCGGCGGAGGCGGAGCAGCTGAGGCATCAGGTCTCTGAGCTGCAGGGGAAGCTGGCCGAAGAGGAGCGGCAGCGAGAGCAGCACGAGGCGGCGAACTCCACAGCGGCCTCAGAGGCGCAGCGGTTGAGAGAGCAGGTGGCGGATCTGCAGGCCACGTTGTCTGCAGAGGAGCGGCAGCGCGAGTCGGCCGGGTCCGCTGCGGCGGCGGAGGCTGAGCAGCTGCGGCAGGAAATTCCTTTCGCTTCGCGGAGGCCCTGTTCAGACAGGCGTTCAATCCGCGCCTCGAGGGTGCTTCATCTCTGCTCCTGGAGTCATCGTCCTTGGTCTGTCCTGGTGTTCTTGACGAGCCCTCGTTGGCCTTCGTGGGGGGCCTTACCGGGCCATACCGCAGTTACATTGGACAGTCTTTGGGCATCTGTGAGCCGTTTGGTGCCGCTTGAGTTTGTCCTGGGGGTCTTCCGGGGCCATCCTGTGACCCTCTTTGGGGCTCTCATTGGATGTCTTGGGGTTTCATGGCTGTCTCGGGGCCACTTTCGGACTGTTGGGCCGTCCTGGAGGCTCTGAATACCGAAACAACGATAACGCTGACATGAAATAATGACACCCTTGGGGCATGAGCGAGGCTCTCCACAGCTTTGCACATGCACGATGGTGGCTACGATGGTTGGGCACTACGGGAGAATCGGGATCGGGACATGGATATGTGTAGAGATAGAGATCGAGATGCGAGTAGCGATAGGGATATAGCATAGGGATTGGGATGCATGTGATAAGGGGCAGAACGGTATGGCTAGAGGTAGGGATACTACAGTAGGGATGCGGTTAATGATCGAGACACTGGGAGACAATCCGAGACAATGGGAGACAGTGGAAGACAAAGGGAGACAAAGCGAGACAACGGGGATAGGGGTCGAGATGCGGATAGAGATATGGATGCGGATGCGGATCGGGGCAGGCATTGGGAGATAGCGGGAGGCAATGGAAGGCAAGGACAGACCTGGAGACAGTTTCGCCCAGCCGATCCCAGAGCTGGTTATTTGTAGCGTTATTTATGTGTATAAGTTACATGAAATTAATACATACACACACTTGCACAACGTTGACATTCCCGCCAATACTAATTATTCGGAACTGATTAAAAATATATGTGTATACATACACAGGGAGAGAAAGACAGAGAGACAGAAAGATATACATAGAGAGAGAGAGAGAGACAGAACCCTCACAGACAAGCTGTTCAGGGAAGCGCTCAGACAGAGCACGCACGTTCGGGGCCGCTGGAAGGCTCAATTGAAGCATTATTGGCACACCGTGGGGGCATCTTCGGCTGGTTGGGGTCATGTTGGGCCCACTTTGAGGCAATCTTGGCTGGACCGGGTCGCCAGGGGAGGCGTTTAGGAAGGACGATTTTCTCACGCGCGACGCGGACCCCAAGGGGTCGGCGAATCTCGAAGTTACAGGCCCAGTTGGCCGAGGAGGGGCGGCAGCGCGAGTCGGCCGGTTCTTCTGCGGTGGCGGAGGCGGAGCAGCTGAGGCAGCAGGTTGCTGAGCTAAGGGGGAAGCTGGCCGAAGAGGAGCGGCAGCACGAGGCGGCAAATTCTACAGCGGCCTCAGAGGCGCAACAGTTGAGACAGCAGGTGTCGCAACTTCAGGTCGCGTTGTCTGCAGAGGAGCGGCAAGGCGAGTCGGCCGGCTCTCCCTCGGTAGCAGAGATGCAGCGTCTGAACCAGGAGATTTCGGTCTTGCAGGCCCAGTTGGCCGCGGAGGGGCGGCAGCGCGAGTCGACTGTTTCCGCTGCAGCGGCGGAGGCGGGGTTACTGAGACATCAGGTCTCGGAGTTGCAGGGCAAGCTGTCCGAAGGACAACGGTTGCGCGAGTTGGCCAGCTCCGCCGCAGCCGCAGATCTGGAACAGTTGAGGCAGCAGGTGTCGGAGCTGGAGGCGAAGCAGTCCGAAGATCGGCAGCGGGAGTCGGCTGGCTCTGCCGCGGCCACAGAGGCGGAACAGTTGAGGCAACAGGTCGAAGAGCTGCGGAACACTTTGATCGACCAGCAGCAGCAGCACGAGTCGGCCAGCTCCGCCGCAGCGGCAGAGGCGCAGCAGCTGAAGCAGTTGGCTTCGGAGCTCTATGCCCAGCTGACCGAGGAGCGGCAGCAGCGCGAGGCGTCTGGCTCCGCCGCGACGGCAGAGGCGCAGCAGCTGGGCCACGAGATCTCGGAGTTGCAGACCCAGCTGGCGGAGGAGGGGAGGCGCAGCGAGTCGGTCGCCTCCGCCGCGGTGGCGGAGGCGCAGCGGCTGCGGCAGCAGCTCTTGAAGCTGCACTCCGAGCTCGCCGGGGAGGGGCAGCGGCGGGCGCCGGCGGGCGCGGCCGCGGAGGCGGAGCGGCTGCGGCGGCAGGTGTCCGAGCTGGAGGCGAGGTCCTGCGAGGAGGGGCGGCGGCTGGAGGCGGCCTCCCTCGCCGCGGCGGCGGAGGCGGAGCAGCTGAGGCGGCAGGTGTCGGAGCTGCAGGCGAGGCTGTCCGAGGAGGGTCGGCCGCGCGAGCGGCCCGCCGCAGGCGGAGGCCCGCGGCGGCCCGCGCGGTCGTCGGTTGCGCGGCGCGCCGCCGCGAGCGGGGCGCCGCGCGTCGTCGCTGCCCGGCGGGGGAGGAGGTGGGGAAGGAGGGTGTCCGAGTGGTGGCTTGGGCCCGGCTCCCGTCAGAGATGTGGGCGAGTGGAGGCCACGGCAGTGGGCCTTTGGGGGGGGCCGTCGTCGCCATGGCTGCACGCAACGCTGAAAACTGGAGCGTTTGGACTCGGGGGGGGGGTCCGGGGGGATCCCGGGGTGGATTTTGAGCTGCTGTTGTTTCGTTCCAGTCCAGTGCAGTCACAAGGGGGGGCGTTTGGGGATGGTTCCTCCTCGTCCTCCTCATCTCACTCCTCCCTGTCCTCCCCCTCCTCGTTCTGACGATCCTCCTCATCCGAGATAATGGGCTAGCTGACTGCAGTGGAGATGGATAACCGTAGCACCCCGCAGATGCGGATAAGAGTGAGGGGGCGGTGGGGACTTCGGCAGTTTGCAAGACTCTGGAGAAGCCCGCCGCAGGCGCCGAGGTTTCCCAAATTATGCAACGAGCCTGCCGGGTGGGTCGCGGGTGGGTCGCTGTTGGGTCGCGTGTGGGTCGCGGGTGTAGAGGGCAGAAAATCCTTTCCATAAGAATCACCCCGACAAGCGAAGCCGTCTAGTAAACACAGACACACAAGGAATGAGTCGAACAGGGCAGGGATGTTTAGTAAACACCTAGGGCCTTTTCGTAAACGTAAATTGTCGGATCGGGGTGGTTTCTTCTCCCTTGAAGGTGGGTCGCGGGGTGGGTCGCGGGTGGGTCGCTGGGTGGGTCGCGGGTGGGTCGCGGATGAGTCGCGAGTGGGTCGCGAGGTGGGTTGCGGGTGGGTCGCTGGGTGGGTCGCGGGTGGGTCGCGGGTGGGTCGCGGATGGGTCGCGGGGTGGGTCGCGGATGGGTCGCGGGGTGGGTCGCGGGTGGGTCGCGGGGTGGGTCGCGGGTGGGATGACGACAACAACAAACAACAAACAACAAACAACAAACAACAAACAACAAACAACAAACAACAAACAACAAACAACAAACAACAAACAACAAACAACAAACAACAAACAACAACAACACCAACAACAACAACAGCATCAGCAACAGCAACAGCAACAACAACAACACCAACACCAAACACCAAGCAACAAACAACAACCAGCAAACAACAACACACAGCACACAACACACACCAAACAACACACAACAAACAGCACACAACACAAATAACAACAACAACTCCACCAACAACAACAACAACAACAACAACGCAACAAACATACTTATCACCACAAATTCCTTATTCAGCCACGCACCCAGGGACAATGAATGACCGTTCGGCCCCCCTTACTCTGATATGGTAAAGACGATGATGTAAGCACCACTCGGGCTGTTCTTTCAGTGCCTTTCATAAAGGTCGTGGAATTTGTTCGTGGCCGCGGCTCGCCGTGGCCAGGGATGTCCGGTCGTCTCAGAACAGCTCCGCCAGATGCGCTACTGAATGGATGGTGCAACGCCGTACACCTTAGGCGATGCTTAAGAAAACCTAAGTTTTCGTCCAGAGTCTCGATTATTCTTAATTTTCCAATGTAAATCCCAAGATTTTGATAGAAGTTTTGGGTTTTATTCAATTTCTGAGACTGTGAATTTCTTAACCCATGATTTCTTGAGCATTTCGCAGGGTGTACCTTGTCGTCGTCGTCGTCCCGCAGCGATTTAGCCTCGAGCCACCAGGACATCAGCCAGGGCAATCCGTTTCAGCCCAGCTAGTTTTGAAAAGATGGCTTCGGCGGCCACCAGCCGCCGCAAGAACAGAGGCGCTGGCGGGCCAAACATCCCTCCTGTCCACCCTCCCTCCGCCGTTCCATGTTTCCTGTTGGATGCAACTCCTGGGCACCATCGGCGCTGGCATATCCGTAGTCGACAGTCTGCCTAAGCCGGCATGGTCCCGAGTACTCCCGCTTGGTTCGGCACAGTCAGGCCTAATCGGATTCAATTCTGGGGTGAATTTGGGCGGATCCGGCTTCGTGGCGGGCTCATCAGTTCTCAGTCCTCTTCGCCAGGATCTTCCCCGACATGGGCGCCTGACTTCCTCCCACCAGAGCCCCGACGTCGCACGATTTTGCTTGCAGGCTGCACCGGCTGGGTCTCGACTCCTCCCAGAGGCCAGCTTTTCCACCCGAGTATGTTGGTCCACGGTCCTGCGGGCCCGGCACGGGGCCACCGGATGCCGAGCATGGTCAAACGTGGATGAGATGGCCAAGCATTCCTCGCCAGTTGTCTCCACCTCTGTCTTCACCTCTCTTCCTCCTCCACCTCCTCCTCCTCCTCCTCCTCCTCCTCCCTCTTTTTCCTCCCCCCCTCTTCTTCCTCCGCCAGTTTTTGCTGTATGACACGAGGGATCCTGTCCGGTTGTCGATTATGGACCGGCTGCACCGGCTGGGTCTCGACCCCTCCCAGAGACCAGCGTTTCAATCCGAGTATTTTGGTCTACGGTCCCGGGGACCCGGCACGGGGCCCCCAGATGCCGAACATGGTCAAACATGGATGAGATGGCCAACCACTTCTCGACAGTTGTCTTCACTTCTGTCTTCACCTCTCTTCCTCCTCCTCCTCCTCCCTCCTTCTTCTTCCTTCCCCTCAAAAAATGCCCCCCCCCCCCCCCCCCCGCCAGTTTCTGTCGCATGACACGAGGGGTCCTGTCAGGTTGTCGATGATGGAGCCTTTGTGCGCCGCAATTGTGCAGCTCTCGCGCAAGGAGCTGCTGGAAGCCGCCCAAGACCGCCCGAAGACCGTCGAGGAGGCCGTCAGAAAGACCGCCAGACCCCTCGCCCTCCCCCCCCCTTCCGCCCACTGTCGAAACGCCGAAGAAGAAAACAGTCACAAGGCGTTCATGGTCGAACACGTCAAATTCTGGGCCCATCCCCGCGAAGACCTCGGAACCTCGTCGCCGTCCTCGTCTCGAAGAAACCAGAGGCTATAAGCAAAAACTGTAAGCGCTCCGCACGGATTTCTTGGATCGGCGTTGGGGCCCCCCGGCCACGCCTCTGGCGTCGCCCCTGGCGCGCTCCGCGCGCCAGGGGAGGGGGGGCAAGAGTTTCTGTTTATGACGCTTTCTCTTTTATCATGGTCGATCGCGTCAAATTCTGGGCCCATCCTCGCGAAGATCAGAGAAGACAATTCGCCATAAACATAAACTTTTGGCGCTCTGCGCGTGTTTCCTGGATTCACGATGGGGCCCCCCCGGCGGCGCCTCCGGCGCGGCTCCTGGCGCGCTCCGCGCGTCAAGGAAGGGGGGGCCCGGCGCGGATCCAAGAAATCCGCGCGGAGCGCCAAGAGTTTCTGTTTGTGGCGTTTTCTCTTCTATCTTGGTCGAGCACGTCAGATTATGGGCCCATCTTCGCGAAGAGCAAACGGCTTTCTCTTGTGTTTTCTGTTATTTTGGCCGAGCGCGTCAGAAATCTTCAAATTCTGGGCCACGTCCATCCACGGTGTCTCACGCCTCGCCGGCGCCCCGGCCGGGCCCCCGCCTCGGCCGGGCCAAGGAGCGGCCGCCGCCCGGCCAGGAGCTGTGAGGCGGGCCGAGGTGGGGACGCTCGGCCACGTGCAGAGGGGGGGGGTTAATGAAGGGGCCCCAGGACACACAAGTAGATACACAGATAAACAGATTCCCCATATGTTCCAATATTTTCTGGGTACTTTCTCCCAACCTCCGCCTGCAGGGGGACATGCCCGACCTGAGGGCATGGGGAGGGGTGAAGGCTTTTCAGAAGCACCTCTGCCTCTTAGACAGCGCGGGCCTTCTTGATAGATGCAAGGCCGGCGCATTCTAAGAGGCAGCCTCCTTCCAAGAAGCCTTCACCCCTCCCCTTACCCCTCTTTTCGCGCCGACAATGATACGTCGCCAGCGTGGAAAGGTGTCTTCCAGGAGCAACGATAAGCTTTGAACATCTGGTTGACCCAAAAGGGGGTCCAGCGAAACGGGGGTGGTGCAATAGATTTGGTGCAATAGACTTGTGGGGTTACAATAGAGTTGGGGCGTGCAATGCATTCCCGTTCGCAAATGTATTGCTGGTTTTTCGCGTGCAGCAGGTGAGTTGCAATACAATGCAGTACAATTATCTGGCGCAATTCGTTTGCAATACAATTGCCCCAAACCTATTGCACCACCCCCTTTCAGCTGGGCCTCCTCTTGGGTCAACCAGAGAGAATCGGGCTCGAGGTTCAGGGCTTTCCGTTTTTTTTGGGGGGGGTTCTCGCCAGTTTTCCAGCTTCGGGGTGCCTTCCGCGGCTGCGCCCTGCCGAGGGCGTCCGAGGGTGTTCAGATCGTCCCGATCGGCCCCCCGAGACCCGAGTGATGACCCCACCAGGAGGCAACGCAAGGGGGGGAGAGACTCGGGCTGACCCCCCGTCGCCCGATTCTCGCCGAGATAGGGACTCCCTAGCCCGCCCCGCCAGGGAACGCCCGCACTGGCCATCGAGAGCCCGTCGCCGATCTGTCCGCGAGGCGTCGTCGATGGCAGGTGGTTGTTGCCTCCCCCACGAGACGGTGCCCCCCAGGAGTTTCCCCGTCAGACCTGAGGGGGAAACGTGCCAGAACTCGGGGCGTCCTCCAGGAACCGCTTCACTCATGCTCCCCTGAGATCCGAACATCGTAACAAGTCACGGGGGGAGGGCGCGAGGGAGGAGGGAGGAGGAGGAGGAGGAGGATGGAAGGAGGACGAGGTACTAAGGACGGCGCGAAGAAACGAAACATCGTATCAAGTCACCGCCAGGACCATATAGACCCCATCGCTCTCTGCCGCAATACTGTGAGGCGGATCGACTCGTGAAGGGGCCTCGGGGTCAGAAATTGGGCAGAACCGCCTGGTTTGACGAACGTGCGACGCCAAGATCTCGGGCGAAGAGAGCTATGCACATGCACCGATCCTGGCAAGGCCCATCCTTGACCCAGGATCGGTGCATATGCCTCCCTGGCCAAGGCAGGAGGGCGTATGCACCGATCCTGGGCTCAGGAGGGGCCTGGCCAGCATCGGTGTATGTGCATAGTTCTCTCTCCTCTAAGATCTCAGGGTCAGAAGTTGGCGTCACCCGATCCAGCGGGATCTCAGGCTCCTGCCTGGCGGCCGCCCTCGCGCTGGCCGCGGCGTGCAAGCTGGCGGAGGGCCCCCTCGGCTTCCTCTCGGGAGCGGGCCGAGCGGCGAGCCCCACGGCTCGCAGGGGGGTGAGGAGGGGGGAGGCGGAGGAGGAGGAGGAGGAGGAGGAGGAGGAGGAGGAGGAGGAGGAGGAGGAGGAGGAGGAGGAGGAGGAGGAGGAGGAGGAGGAGGAGGAGGAGGAGGAGGAGGAGGAGGAGGAGGAGGAGGAGGAGGAGGAGGAGGAGGAGGAGGAGGAGGAGGAGGAGGAGGAGGAGGGAGGGAGGGAGGCAGGGAGGGAGGGGGGAGGCAGGCAGAGAGAGAGGGAGAAAGGGAGGGAGGGCGAAAGGGAGGGAGGGGGTGAGGGAGGAGGAGGAGGAGGAGCAGGGAGGAAGGAGGAGGGAGGAGGGAGGAGGGATGAGGGAGGAGGAAGGGAGTAAGGGAGGGGGAGGAGGAGGTGGGAGGTGGGAGGAGGGAGGGAGAGCGGAGCGAGGAGGAGGAGGGAGGAGGGAGGGAGGGATGAGGGAGGAGGGAAGGAGGGAGGGAGGATGATGGAGGGAAGGAAGGAGGGAGGGGGGTGGGAGGAGGAGGCGGAGGAGCAGGAGCAGGAGCAGGAGCAGGAGCAGGAGCAGGAACAGGAACAGCTGCAGGAGCAGGAGCAGGAGCAGTAGAATGAGCAGGAGCAGTAGAAGGAGCAGGAGCGAGGGCAGGAGCGAGGGCAGGAGCACGAGCACGAACACGAGCAGGAGCAGGCGCAGGAGCAGGACCAGGACCAGGACCAGGCGCAGGACCAGAACTAGGACCAGGACAAGGACCAGGCGCAGGAGCAGGAACAGGGGGTGGAGGATGAGGAGAAGGAGGAGGATGAGGAGGATGAGGAGCAGCAGCAGGAGCAGGAGCAGGAGCAGGAGCACGAGGTGGAGGATGAGAAGGAGGAGCAGGCGCAGGAGCAGGAGCATGAGCAGGAGGGAGGGAGGCAGGCAGGCAAGTTGGGAGAAAGGGAGGGACGGAGAGAAGGGAGGGAGGGAGGGAGGGAGGCAGGCAGGCAGGCAGGGGAGGGAGGCAGGGAGGGGAGGGAGGAGGGAGGGAGGGAGGGAGGGGGGAGGAGGAGAGGACGAGGAGGAGGAGGAGGAGGGAGGAGGAGGAGGAGGAAGGAGGAGGAGGAGGAGGGAGGAGGGAGGAGGAGGAGGGAGGAGGGAGGAGGGAGGAGGAGGAGGAGGGAAGGAGGGGGGGAGAGGAGGGAGAGGAGGAGGCAGGAGGGAGGAGGAGGAGGGAGGGAGGCAGGGAGGCAGGGAGAGGAGGGAGGGAGGGAGGCAGGCAGGGAGGGAAGGAGAGGAGGGAGGGAGGGACGGAGGAGGAGAAAGGGAGGAGGAGGAGGAGGAGGAGGAGGAGGAGGAGGAGGAGGAGGAGGAGGAGGAGAGGAGTGATGGGGAGGGGAGGAGAGGAGGAGGGGAGGAGGGAGGAGGAGGAGGAGGACGAGGAGGAGGAGGAGGAGGAGGGGAGGAGGGGAAGGGGAGGAGGGCGATGGGGGTGGAAGAGGAAGGGGAGGAGGAGGAGGAGGACGGGGAGGTGGAGGGGCAGGAGGAGTGGGAGGAGGAGGGGAGGAGGAGGCCGCCTCCTGCGCGTCGCTCCTGGGGGAACCGCCCTGATGGAGGGGCGGTGAGGGAGTGCGCCTGCTTTCGACCACAGAGCACCCGCGGCAGAGGACCCCGCGGCGGTCGGAGGAGGAGGAGGGAGGAGAGAGGCGGAGGTCGGAGCCGGCTTGGGGTCCGAAGTGGCCCAGCACTGGTTCAGCCACGAGCAGGGGGGGCATTTCAAACGACGCGAAGATCGGGACAAAATCGGATCGGGATAACTCGAAATCTCTGAGAATCGGCGGGTTTGGAGGATGTATTGGGCGCCGCGGCCGCTCCAGAGCGTTCCAGAACGCTCTGAGAGCGCTCCGAAACGCTCTGGAGCGATTTATCCCGATCCTAGCCCCGTTTTAGCATTGTTGGGCATGTTGGGACGTCTCGGGTTCCTGTGGGCGGCCTCTCCGGGCCTCGCGGGGGTCTCTTGGGAGCCTCTTGGGGGCATATTGGGGCCCTCTTGGGGCCTCCTGGGCGCCTCTTGGGGGACGGGGGAAGACTTCTCAGAAGCACCCTTGCTTCTTAGGAGGCGCGGGCCTTGTCTGTAGATGCGGGACTGGCGCCTTCTACGAAGCAGCCTCCCTTTCAGAAGTCTTCCCCCCTACCCCTACCCCCTTGTGCGCGCCGCCAAAGCGGCAGGGGGGGGGTGGAGGTCGGAGCGGGCTGCGGGTCTGAGGTGGCATAGCACTGGTTCTGGCGAGCAGGAAGGGGAAGCGAGGTCCTATAGGGTCTGGGTTCGAACAGATTTGTTGTGTTGTTGTTCCTCCGGGGGCCGCTTTCGGGCCTCCCGACCGTCCCGAACTGATCCGGGGTGAAATATCGCATGGGCCTCCGAGGGGTCTGGGAACCGAATTTGAGCGGAGTTGCCCTCATATATGTCTTTCTTGGCCGTCGTTCTCGAAGTCCATCCAGTTCATTGTTGCTGCCTACAAGAAGGAGGAGGAGGAGGAGGAGGAGGAGGGTATGCAGTCGAGCCCCAGGATTTCCGAGATGAAACGAAGAAGAATGAATAGGAGGAAAGGAGGAAAGGGAGGGGGGAACGAGGATGAGGAGGAGGAGGAGGAGCAGGGAGGGAGAAGGGGTGATGAGGACAAGGATGGATGTGGCGGCTCGCAGATGGCTGCGGCGGGAGGAGGAGGACGACGAGGAGGAGGAGGAGGAGGAGGAGGGCGATGAGGAGGAGCAGGAGGAGGAGGAGGAGGAGGAGGGGCTGGAGACCGCATCAAGGAATGAGCAATTTGAGAATTTTTGCTGAAGGAAAGAACGTAGGATAGATAAAGAAGGAGAGAGCGAAAGCGAGAGAGAGAGAGAGAAACAAAAAAGAGAAAGAGAGAGAGAGAGCGATAGGCGGGTAAGAGGAATCTATCTCGAAAACCTTTAACTTGGTTGTTATGTATATGTCGACGTTGATGCTGACGAATCTGGTGATGTAAATGTGGATTTAGTTGTAGAGTGTTCTTTTGGGGCCTGTGGCGGAATCCGTCGGATGTGTATTGAAATTCAATTGGAATATAATTGGAGTCCAAATATAATCCCTCTGGCTCTGAATCCGCTCTCTTCCTATTGAAATCACATAGAAAGCCAATTCGATTCCAATGGACATCTTTTTTGTGTGAGAAAGGGTTAGTATTTTTTCCACACAGGTTTCCTTGACGTTGGGCCACGAGACCTGTGACACTACCAAGACACATTGCGACACTACCACAGAAACCAAACATCACAAGTTTTCGGGACCCGAGGCGGGGGGTGAGAGCCAGGGCGGGCCGACCCCTCCCCACGCCTCGGATTTCGAGATCCTTTGATTTGTTTGTTGGTCGTGTCACCGTTTTTCCCCAACCAGTGCTTGCACTGAAGAGGTCCTAGCGAATGTTGAAGGATTTGGCGAAAGTTCCCTGCCGATTCTGGTGGCAGGTTGGGTGCCAGTGCACGTCATGCAGTCGCCCTCGGGCTCTATATTTCGCGCGGTGCACAGTGCTCGTCATTTGATTGAGCGAGTGCGTGGTGGCTTCCAAAACAGATGAGATGTAACATCTCTCTCTCTCTCTCTTTCTCCCTCTCTCTCGCTTTCAATCTCCCCCCTCTCTGTCTCTCGCTTTCGATCTCCCTCTCTTATTCTCTCTCTCTCTCTCTCTTTTTTTTGTTTCTCTCTCTCTCTCTCTCTTTTTCTCTTTCTCTTTGCGTTTCCAAAACGCTGAAACGGCCCAGTCCTTCGCGCGGGCTGGCGCCAGAACAGGAGGAGGAGGAGGAGGAGGAGCGAGGGCGCTTTGGGGGAGAACGACGACCATAAACAAAAGCACATGTGCACATGCGCATCGGGTCGGCGCCGGACCCCCCTCCCCCCCGCGCCCCATGAACTGGGCGCTCCGTGCGTCGGGGAAAAGGGAACTGGGCGCTCCGTGCGTCGGGGGGATGGGGGCTGCAGAAGAAGGAGAAAGAGGGGGAGAGGGGAGGAGGAGCAGAAGCAGGATGGCAAGAACATGTATATAGTCTGTGCTCGCCGTCTGGTTACCTTACCCCTGGCATCTGCGCGCGTTGCCGATTTCCCTGCGAGATCCCAGGGCAGCCAAACGGTCCAGTTACTTGTGACAGACCAGCAGTCTGAGCAGGAAGGTGCTCAGCGATGGTCAAGAATTCCGCGAGGCCCCTTCCAAGTTCACGGGGGGGTGGGGATTTCGGCCGTGTCTCGTGTTCCTGAAGGGGAGTGTTTCGAACTCCGACTCAAGACGCGCCCCTGGGCAGTCCAGGTACGTGCAAGTGTTGTGGGGGGGAGGAAGGGGGGACGAAATGTCTGTCGTGGGTGCGGGAGGGTCTTCCGTGAACTGCCCTGGGCGTAGAAGTGAAATGGATGCAGGAGGAAGAAAACGAAGGAAGGGTTTGTCTAGGGCGAGGAAGGGGGGGTATCAAACGAGGTAAAGGTACCCATGATTTTGCCCTCCCCCCGTTTTCCCCTTTTTGAGCCTCCTGGGCTCGTCGTCGCCACCACTAGATTCGCCTCGACATCCTGGTCAGAACCCACCCCGCGAGAGGTCTGAGGAGTAGCGGTATCGGTACCTTTTGGCTTCCCCAAGGGAGGGCGGCAGGAAGTAGTGAGGAAGTGGGCAGCAGCAACATTACAGTCAGGTCGCATAGTATGGATGATTAAATTTAAAAGGTCACCCATGCATCCTTGTCCCTGCGGCCCGTCCTTGACAATTTTGACGGCCAGCCCCGTTCGAGCAAAAGCGTCAACATGTCCTTCCAAGGCCATTTCACCCTTACCGCGCATCCTTACTACAGGACGTGGAGGAGGAGAAAGGACGTGGAGGAGGAGCAAACAACCCCAAGGCGGATCCGGTCGTGCGGACAATGCCCCGGGCGGCACACCATTGGCGAGCAGCGTCCAAAACTTGGACAGGCGATCATCCTCGTAGTTCCTCCTCCGTTCCTTGTCCTGCCCTTACGCTTGGAGCATATGAATATCCTTATTATTGACATCGCCACATCTCGATGCCAATCTTTTAAGGACCCTCTTGATTTCTGAGGGTGCATCCCCAGGATTGGGATAGGGATCAAATTCGGGGCGGGTTATGCCTATGTGTTCCACCTGTCAGTTGTCCTTCAGCGCCGCCCGGTTCGTTTTTGCCTCTAGGCAGTTCCATCTCCGTGGGCGCGGCTCCTCCTCCTCCGGCTCCTCTTCCTCCTCATCGTCGTCATTTGCATCATGCATCTGCATCATCTTCATCGTCATCGTCATCATCATCCTGCCCCTGCACCCTCTTCTCCCCGCCCCTCGCCTCCTCCCTCCTTCCTCCCTTGCTCCCATCCTCCTCTCTCTCTCTCTCTCTTTTCTCTGTTCCCGCCCCTGTCCCCCCCCCCTGCGGCGACGACGACGGGCGACGACGACGACGACGACGACGACGACGACGTTCGACGTTCGACGTTCGACGTTCGACGTTCGGCGTTCGGCGTTCGACGGCGTTCAACGGCGGCGGCGGCTGCGTGGGCTCCCCGCAGGCGCGGAGCCCGCAGGCCGCCCGCCCGGGACGCGGGGGACGCGGCGCCCGCGCGCTCGTCGCGCGGTTCGCGCGCCCGGACATGACCCTGGAGGCCGTCGCGGCCTGGAGGAGGAGTGAGGAGGAGGAGGAGGCGGAGAAGGAGGAGGAGGAGGACCCTGGAGGCCGGCGGCCGTCGCGGCCGCTTTTGGCTCTAGGCCTCCCAGACGGGGTCCTGGTTCCAAAGACAAAAAGCAGAGGCCGTCCTGGCTCGAAGAAGAACAATTACATAAAGTTTGGCGCTCCGCGCGGATTTCTTGGATCCGCGCTGGGCCCCCCTGGGGGTGCCTCGGGCGCCGCCCCTGGCGCGCTCCGCACGCCAGGGAGGTGGGTCCAGCGCAGATGCAAGAAGTCCGCGCGGAGCGCCAACAATTTATGGTTATGCCGCTTTCTGTTTGTTTTACTGCTGGGATGGGGTCGGGGGATCTCGGCGGATCAAAGGGTACACATACGGGTGCCCTTTCCTCGCTCTCGCCTTGTGGGGCCTCCTGGGAGGCCCTCGTCACGTCGCCACCGCCCGATTTGCTTGGAGAGTTTGATCAGAACGCACCCTGGGGGAGGCCCGGTGCCTTTTGATTTCCCCATAGATGTCGGGAGCGGAAAAGAGGGGGGTGATGACTAGGGGGGGGTGGATTTCATGGCGCGGGCCATGATTTTTCCCCAGATCTCATGGCGCCTCTTCGTATTCTATTACGTCCCAGGCCCCCCCGCTGGGCCGCGCACATGCCGCCGGTCATGATTTGCACCCCCCCCTCTTGGACACCCCCCTCTTGGCCGCTCCCGAAGATGGGGTCGGAGCCCGATCTTCTTCATGCCGACGTCGCAGATGTATCGCTGGCGTCGCAGCGTCGCGGGTGCATCGCCGATGCATCGCCGATGCATCGGCGACGCATGGGGGGTGCATCGGCGATGCGGCAAGATCCACCGACCCCATCCACTCGGACCCCATTTGGGAGGCCTCTTTTGCAGAGTCTATTGTGGGGGGGGTCTCAGAAGCTTTGCCTGTTGGGTGGCTTGGACGTCGGCGCTTCCCGAGCAGATTTGTGAGGATGCCTCTGCCGATTTTCTGGTTTCAGCACCTCACGGGAGAGCCGCCAGGGGTGGTTTAACGGCCCCGTTCGCGGCCAGCGGCATCGCCGCCATCGCCGCGTCGCCTCAGAAGACGAGAAGGTGTCGATGCCGCTGCCGAGGTGCTGGTTCGATCCTCTTGCGCGTAACGGTCGTTTCCCCGGGCCAGCCTCCCCCACAAGTCCCCGGCAACGGGCGGTAGCGATCGTACGGGGGGGGGGGCCTGGACCCCCCTCCACATGCTGGTGCTCGCGCGCTACCGTCACCCCTCCCCCCCCTCCTCCTCCTCCTCCTCAACCTCGTCCTCATCCTCCTCTTTGGCCTCCTCCTTCTCCTCCTCGCCTCCTCTTCCTCCTGATCCTCCTCGTCTTCCTCTGTGTTTCTGTTGTGGCGTTACCGCAAACTGGAGAAACAATGTCACCATGCTCGTGGTCGTCTGCTTGGGCACCTGGGAGGCCTTTCGTCGCCAGTGCTTGATACTCCTCGAGGTCCTGGTCAGCAGAAGGATCCAGGGAGTAGAGTTACAACTATTGCTTCTTCATGTGTATTTAAAGAATGTGTCCAACATCCCTCTGTAGGAGGACATGCCCGATCTGAGAGTAGAGGTATCCGTATCTTTGGGCTCCACCATCGTCTGCTCCGTAGCCGTCGCCATCGCCAGCGTTGTCGTCATCGTCGCCTTCGTCGTTGCCGCAGTCGTCGCCGTCGTCGAAGGGTGGGGGTGCGGCGACCGATGATCCAGGATGGAGGGTCGTTGGTCGTTGTTTTCGCCTCTGTCGGACCTCCGTGAAGCCTCCTTGGTCGCCAGAGCGGGATCTGCCCTGTAAGTCTGCCCAGACCGCACCCCATGATGTTCCAGTGGTAAAGTTTGATGGAGGAGGGCTGGATGAGTGATGGAGATAGACGCAGGAGAAGGGTGGCATGCAGGAAGGAAGGATGAGAAGGGAGAAACGGAAGGATGGAGGAGCAGGATAGAGGAGGCAGGACGACGATGGGGGGAATGGAGGAGTAAGGGGAGGATAATACGGGTAACCAGGATGAGGGAGGGGAGACAACAAAGGTGGGTGGAAGAGGTGACCGAAGAGGTCATCCATGATGATTCTGATGACGAAGGAAGAGTCGTTTGTCACGTTGGTGAAGAAGAGGCGGATGAGGAGGTCAAGGCGTAGATCGGGACAGGCAGTATTGGTAGAAGTAGCAGTAGTAGCAGCAGTTGCAGCAGTAGTAGTAGTAGTAGTAGTAGTAGTAGTAGTAGTAGTAGGAGTAGTAGTAAGTTGTGGTAGTAGTAGCTCGTAGTAGTATCAGTAGCATTAGTAGTAGTAGTAGTAGTAGTAGTAGTAGTAGTAGTAGTAGTAGAAGTAGTAGTAGTAGGAGTAGGAGTAGGAGTAGGAGTAGGAGTAGTAGTAGTAGCAGTAATAGTAGTAGTAGTAGTAGTAGTAGTAGTAGTAGTAGTAGTAGTAGTCGTATTAGTACTTCTAGTCGTAGTC